GGTTTTGTTTTTCTTTATTGCTCACTTTATTTTCAATTGCAGCTTTTGTTCGAAATCAAATTTTGTGGTGTTTGTATACAGTTGCAGCATGTTGCCATGACTGCATTTCTTGTATTCGTTCTTTTCTTTAGAAGTACTTATGATTTTCAAACATCTTTGAATTTTCATAATTTGACTTTATGGTTTTGTGCATTTCAAATATGTACTACAATATTGAAAATCAAATTAGTAAGTTATATGAGCATGTCTGAGTCTGGCTATTACAGCGCTTCTTTGGCCGTTGCATGAGTCAAGGATTTTTTGTAGCTATTGCCTTTTTCAATTATTAGTTTTGTTAGTTTGATATTTTGGATTTATGTATTGTTTTTACCGAATATATGCATATTTATGCACTGGATTTTGGCTCTATGCCAGCTTGGCTAAAAGACATTTTTATCTGTAGTTCATTTTTGAATGGTTTATTTGTTTTATACGAGTATGTGTATCTCTGCTAAAAATATATTTGGCTTGTCAGTCTTTGTTGAATTTGTATAATTTAGTTGAATGTAGTTAGATAAAAAACTACGGTTAAATATTAGTGAAAAGTGTTTGCTTAAAGTGCAGTTTTTGGATGTTTAATAGATAACGGAAGCAACATATAGTGGAGCAGTGTAATGATCAATATTATGATCTACATGGACCAACATATGTCAACCAAAAGATGTCCTAAAAACGGTCAGTCTGAGGAAACTAGAAAAAACTAGAACTGAACTAGAACAGAACTACAACTACACTACAATTGAACTATAACTGAACAACAACTGAACTAGGTCCATTTGAACAAAAACTAAACTAGAACTGAACTAGAACTGAACTAGAACTGAACTAGAACTGAACTAGAACTGAACTAGAACTGAACTAGAACTGAACTAGAACTGAACTAGAACTGAACTAGAACTGAACTAGAACTGAACTAGAACTGAACTAGAACTGAACTAGAAACTGAACTAGAACTGAACTAGAACTGAACTAGAACTGAACTAGAACTGAACTAGAACTGAACTAGAACTGAACTAGAACTGAACTGAACTAGAACTGAACTAGAACTGAACTAGAACTGAACTAGAACTGAACTAGAACTGAACTAGAACTGAACTAGAACTGAACTAGAACTGAACTAGAACTGAACTAGAACTGAACTAGAACTGAACTAGAACTGAACTAGAACTGAACTAGAAGAACTGAACTAGAACTGAACTAGAACTGAACTAGAACTGAACTAGAACTGAACTAGAACTGAACTAGAACTGAACTAGAACTGAACTAGAACTGAACTAGAACTGAACTAGAACTGAACTAGAACTGAACTAGAACTGAACTAGAACTGAACTAGAACTGAACTAGAACTGAACTAGAACTGAACTAGAACTGAACTAGAACTGAACTAGAACTGAACTAGAACTGAACTAAACTGAACTAGAACTGAACTAGAACTGAACTAGAACTGAACTAGAACTGAACTAGAACTGAACTAGAACTGAACTAGAACTGAACTAGAACTGAACTAGAACTGAACTAGAACTGAACTAGAACTGAACTAGAACTGAACTAGAACTGAACTAGAACTGAACTAGAACTGAACTAGAACTGAACTAGAACTGAACTAGAACTGAACTAGAACTGAACTAGAACTGAACTAGAACTGAATTGAACTGAACTAGAACTGAACTAGAACTGAACTAGAACTGAACTAGAACTGAACTAGAACTGAACTAGAACTGAACTAGAACTGAACTAGAACTGAACTAGAACTGAACTAGAAACTGAACTAGAACTGAACTAGAACTGAACTAGAACTGAACTAGAACTGAACTAGAACTGAACTAGAAACTGAACTAGAACTGAACTAGAACTGAACTAGAACTGAACTAGAACTGAACTAGAACTGAACTAGAACTGAACTAGAACTGAACTAGAACTGAACTAGAACTGAACTAGAACTGAACTAGAAGAACTGAATTAAAACTGAACTAGAACTGAACTAGAAGTGAACTAGAACTGAACTAGAACTGAACTAGAACTGAACTGGAACTTGAACTAGAACTGAACTAGAACTGAACTAGAACTGAACTAGAACTGAACTAGAACTGAACTAGAACTGAACTAGAACTGAACTGAAGTAGACCTGAACTAGAATGGAGCTATAGTTTTCGATTCGATTTATCTTTATTATCATTTAGTTGTTGTGGATATAGAGATAATGAATATTCTTTTTTATTGGACTTAATGTAAGATTACGAAAAACAATTGATACAAGTGATTATCTCGTAGTTGTTTTATTATTAAAAAATAAATTAAAAGTGTTAAAACTTCTGAGAAATGGAGACATATCATCTTTAATATGTATCTTATGTGTAAATGAAGAAATTGATAAAATTGGCAGTTAATTTATACGGAAATACGGATAAAATTAGTTTTTTTTGCGATGAAAATATGAAATGTTTTTATTATTATAACTTAATTATATGAAAGTTGAGAATCTGTCAATTATGTAAAAGATTATTATAACGAAAAATCTCAAAATGATGAATTTATGTATGTGCTTTTCAATTGCGAGCTGATTTTTTATTATTAGGGTGACTGAAAAAAAGTCTAAAGCTAAAACTATATTTCCCTCTACAGTCGCAGTGAATTAAAAGCAGATATCTGTTAATTTAAACAAAATTGTTACAAAGCTCTTTGAATGGAAAGTACGAAAATAGTTTGGAACTTCATTTAACTTTGTTTTCAACATAAAAACTTATCCTGTTTAATGTTGCTGTATTTATTGCGAAAATAAAATATATTATAAATAACCTGTCAATCAAATTGATAAAAATTAAATTAATTAATTAATCTGTCCTAATTGTATTTATCATTTCAGATATAACCAACATACCAACCACATTGCAGCAATTCAACGTTAAACCACAAGCATATTCCTAGAGATACACAAATACATACATACTTATAGTGAAGTGTAAGCGTTCATAACAACATACTATTTGTCAAATTCATAATTGTTGTCGTATCGTTGTATGTCATAAAAGTGTTTCAAATAACATTTTTTGAAACAAAAACAAAACAATAACAAGTAAGAAATTATAGTTGGGCGGGGCCTACCATATAATACCATACACCTTTGACAAAAATATAATATGATTTAGTTGCCATAATAAAGCATTTAATTTGCATTGTACCTTGTCTTAGATATACATACTTAAGCCGTTTATTGTTGAATAAAATTGTGGACATTTAAGTGAAATTTTGATGGGGGCTTTTCATAGGGGCTAGGGTATTATGGAATTCATGAGGGTCATCAAGACTTGTATTCAACTTGCTTTTTGCAGCTTTTTGTCGAGATATGAGTATATTAAACATAATTATGAACTTAAAAGCCCTATTCGTCGGGTTCAGTTGTATGGGGACTAGGTGAAATAATAGACCGATGTAAACCATTTTCAACAGGCTTTGTCTACGGTACCATAAAAGATCATGTGCCAAATTTCATTGAATTATCTCCAAAATTGCGACCTGTAGTTTGATTACAAGGTTTAAAAGCCCTATTCGGGGGTTCAGTTGTATGGTGACTAGGTGAAATGTTACCATGTTACCCATTTTCAATAGGCTTCGTCTACGATACCATAAAATATCATGTGCCAAATTTCATTGAATTATCTCCAAAATTGCGACCTGCAATTTGATTACAAGGATTACAAGCCCTTTTGGGGGGTTCAGTTGTATTGGGGCTAGGTGAAATAATGGACCGATCTTAACCATTTTCAATAGATTTCGTCCCTGGGATAATAGAAGATCATGTTCCAAATTTCATTGAATTATCTTCAAAATTGCGACCTGTAGTTTAATTACAAGGTTTACATGGACGGACGGACAGACGGACGGACGGATATAGCTAAATCGACTCAGAAAATGATTCTGAGCCGATTGGTATACTTAAGGTGGGTATAGGACCAATATTATTGTGCGTTACAAACATTAGCACAAACCCAATATACCCTCCCCACTAAAGTGGTGTAGGGTATAATAAAAAACAATTACAACATACTACGATACATCCATACAATACCGTTTGTGAATTGGACAATTGTTTTTAAATTATATTAACAGTTTCCTACAGTTTGGGGTAGACTACTTAAGAATTAGGTCCTAGGAGGAACTCAATTGAACTTGCCCCTTGACTAATCTATTAACTAGTTTAGTTAAGGACAAAGCTAGTTTAAGTCTATAGACTAGTTTATTGATAGGCTAAGCAAGAGCCCATGTACTAGTATTTTGACTAGGCTATGAGTCTCTCGTCTATGGATTTACCTATTGACTGGTCTGGACTACTATTTGCTAGTCTGAGAACTAGTTTATATACTACACTATAGACTAGTCTATTCATTAGTTCTTCTGACTAGTTTTTTGTCTAGTCATCTAAAAAGTCTACTATCTCAATTGTCTAGTCTATGGGCCAGTCTCTTTACTTTGAAGTACTCTATCGCCTAGTTTATGAACTATTCCGGGGACTAGTCAATTAGCTAGTCCGTGGACTTATATATTGACTAGTCGTCTACCTATTCACTAGTTAATGTACTAACTTACTGACTAATATCTAGGCTGGTATATTGACTAGTTTTTAAACTATTCTTTTGATTAGTTGGGGTACTAGTCTATGGAAAAGGGTATTCAGTAGTCTAAGCACGAACTATTCTTTTAATTAGTCGGAGGATTTCCGGAAATTGGCATCATTTCTTTACTATTATGCTTGTTATATAAAACCTGTCCAGGCCTGTGCTGTTTATAAGATTTTTCCAATATTGGAATGTTTGTTATTTGTAGCGTAAATCCTACAAATAGTTTTATTTGGTAAGCCTGATACGAATTCCCTTATTTCAAATTATTTCCATGAATTGAAAAACAAATCAACTCCCACGACTTCTACTACTACTGCACAACAACATTTTATAAATTTTCGAAGGATATAGACACATAATTTAAAGTTAAATAAACTACAAAAGGAAGTCAGTCCAAAAGAAAGTAAAACAAGATGTTTTCCTACTAAATCAACAACCAAAGAATGTTTGATGAACAAGCAAAAACATAACCAAACATGCATGAAAAACCAGCTGTTTTAATATTGACATTTGTCCCATTCACAATAGGTGTCATAACATTGTATCGTTATAATTTGTATATAATTGTTGTGTTTTTGTTTCGAAAACAAACCTATAATAAAAACAAATATGATATACAACGATACAACGTTACCACACCGATTGTGAATTGGTCAAATGTTTTCCTTTTAGACAGTATTTTGTTCAAATGTCTGACTATTTAGTTTGACTAAAATTTTGTATATTTTAGGGCCATTTTACAAGGAATCTTGGTAGAAGTAGAAGTGAACTTAATCATTACTTTAGTGTCCCCAGGTAATCTGCCAGGAGGTCAATTATAATCTTATTTACTTCCAGTAATTTAGAGAGAAGTCACTGTAAATGTGTTGATTTCAACTATACTGTAGAAAGTGGTTATTTAACTCACCATAAGTAATCTATTGAGGAGTCAATTGTTTATTTACAATCAAAATCTTCCTCCTAATTGTTTAACAAGGAGTAGATACTAAATCTTATCTATCACTTGATGGGGATAGTCACCTCAAACTGCAGTGAAACATCAATATAAACAAACACACCCTAGAAATTTTAAACGTTCTATTCCTATTTTTAGTCAATTTATCATGACAAGACGACAGGGGACAACTACATAGTTTTTATAGACTTTTGTAAATCCTATAAATTTAGTTAACCAAAAAAATACAACATAACCACATTACACATACATACACACACATATGAAATCAATTTTCAAATAAGTTTTCATTTCACAAATCCCTTAACATATACATAAACACAAACTTTTGCGTTTGTGCTTATGTGTACGTTAAAAACACGTGTAATATTTAAATGTCATTTCGTTTTATCAATACCAGATGTGTCAATCAAATGAACTTAAAGATAAATCAATCGAATATTAGTGAAACCAATGAAAACATTGTACACATATAAAATTGTCACTATTTACAATTAAAGGGGAGAAGAAGTATGAACAATATTTAACAAATGTGCTTGAATCCCCCATCAACTTATTCCTTGTCTGTGGTAATGACACAACTAAACGAAATAATACAATAATAAATTGTCTGTAAATAAATCATAAAGTGTGCGTGTTTCTACTGTGAATAGTTATGAGACTTGTGTATTAAGTTAAATTAGTACGAGAGGAGTTTGTTCATGTCATGAATCGCCATGTGGACGTATATGATGGCAGCTGCCCGAGGAGATCGGGCCAACTCTATGATGGCGAGACGTCGCAATGAAGTTGAATCACCTAAATATGGTTATAAGTAAGTAAATCGTCTTTTTAGTTTTATCGAAAGTTGTCTATTAAAAGAAAATTCTTAAGCGACATGTTCATTAAAAAATTCTTAGCTTGAACAGTACTAAACTGAACTAGAACTGAACTAGAACTGAACTAGAACTGAACTAGAACTGAACTAGAACTGAACTAGAACTGAACTAGAACTGAACTAGAACTGAACTAGAACTGAACTAGAACTGAACTAGAACTGAACTAGAACTGAACTAGAACTGAACTAGAACTGAACTAGAACTGAACTAGAACTGAACTAGAACTGAACTAGAACTGAACTAGAACTGAACTAGAACTGAACTAGAACTGAACTAGAACTGAACTAGAACTGAACTAGAACTGAACTAGAACTGAACTAGAACTGAACTAGAACTGAACTAGAACTAGAACTGAACTAGAACTGAACTAGAACTGAACTAGAACTGAACTAGAACTGAACTAGAACTGAACTAGAACTGAACTAGAACTGAACTAGAACTGAACTAGAACTGAACTAGAACTGAACTAGAACTGAACTAGAACTGAACTAGAACTGAACTAGAACTGAACTAGAACTGAACTAGAACTGAACTAGAACTGAACTAGAACTGAACTAGAACTGAACTAGAACTGAACTAGAACTGAACTAGAACTGAACTAGAACTGAACTAGAACTGAACTAGAACTGAACTAGAACTGAACTAGAATGAACTAGAACTGAACTAGAACTGAACTAGAACTGAACTAGAACTGAACTAGAACTGAACTAGAACTGAACTAGAACTGAACTAGAACTGAACTAGAACTGAACTAGAACTGAACTAGAGAACTGAACTAGAACTGAACTAGAACTGAACTAGAACTGAACTAGAACTGAACTAGAACTGAACTAGAACTGAACTAGCTGAACTAGAACTGAACTAGAACTGAACTAGAACTGAACTAGAACTGAACTAGAACTGAACTAGAACTGAACTAGAACTGAACTAGAACTGAACTAGAACTGAACTAGAACTGAACTAGAACTGAACTAGAACTGAACTAGAACTGAACTAGAACTGAACTAGAACTGAACTAGAACTGAACTAGAACTGAACTAGAACTGAACTAGAACTGAACTAGAACTGAACTAGAACTGAACTAGAACTGAACTAGAACTGAACTAGAACTGAACTAGAACTGAACTAGAACTGAACTAGAACTGAACTAGAACTGAACTAGAACTGAACTAGAACTGAACTAGAACTGAACTAGAACTGAACTAGAACTGAACTAGAACTGAACTAGAACTGAACTAGAACTGAACTAGAACTGAACTAGAACTGAACTAGAACTGAACTAGAACTGAACTAGAACTGAACTAGAACTGAAACTAGAACTGAACTAGAACTGAACTAGAACTGAACTAGAACTGAACTAGAACTGAACTAGAACTGAACTAGAACTGAACTAGAACTGAACTAGAACTGAACTAGAACTGAACTAGAACTGAACTAGAACTGAACTAGAACTGAACTAGAACTGAACTAGAACTGAACTAGAACTGAACTAGAACTGAACTAGAAATGAACTGAACTAGAACTGTAACTAGAACTGAACTGAACTAGAACTGAACTAGAACTGAACTAGAACTGAACTAGAACTGAACTAGAACTGAACTAGAACTGAACTAGAACTGAACTAGAACTGAACTAGAACTGAACTAGAACTGAACTAGAACTGAACTAGAACAGAACTGAACTAAAACAGAACTGAACTAGAACAGAACTGATCTAGAACAGAACTGAACTAGAACTAAACTAGAACTGAACTAGAACTGAAATTTTTCTAAATTTTTCTATAAAAACAAAATTGATTTTATAAAAATTTTCTATAAAAAGAAAATTTATCGTAAATTTTTTATATAAGAAAATTTCTTGTAAATTTTCTATAAAAATTCTTCATAGTTTTTAATAAAATTAAAATTTATCGTAAATTTTCTATAAAAAATTAATCGTGAATTTTCTATAAAAGAAAATTCATCATGCATTTTTGTAATATGGAAATTTATCGTTTTTTGTGTGACGTAATGTTAATGGACTTTATGGCACTCTACCTCTTACTATTTACATATTGCAAAATCTCTCTCTCTCTAATATTTTTGTGTTCATGACCGAATTTAAGGAAATATAATTTTCCTTATTTGTCTAATATCACACTAAATAAAAATAAATTAGTTTGGCACACATTTTAATAACTTGTACTTTTACTTATTGCACTCTAACCAATATAGTCTCAACCGTCCTATGTACCGTTCCATACGTCACAATAATGGATCATCGTCACAACAAAGTTGTAATGCTTCAACATTGGGTAGCTCATATCCTTATACCACTTCAACGAGTCATCATTATGGCACGAACCCATCATCAACGTCTAGTTGTTCACAACATCAGCAGCAGCAACATCATCGTCAACAGCATCATATTATTGGTATTGATGATGTCTATACAAATCCTGTTACAAGTGAAAGTTATGAAATGGAAGATGGCACCAGCCTCTTCTCGCCCCTCACACCCACTAGTACAACAATGACAACCGATACGGCTGTACTTATAGCCAGAAAACACATGATGTCAAGTCAACAGAAACATGGCTCACATGCAAAAGGTAGTGGAGGTAGTAGTGCTCGAAATTATGTCTCTGGTGGTGATGCTGAAGAACAAAGTTGTTTTGTTGGTAGTCAGGCGGCCGTTGTTCGATTGCCATCACGTAGAACAACAATAACCTCAACATCATCGGCCTTTTATCATGAAAGTGATGAAGATGACGCCGATGATGATGGCAACGATGGTGATGGTAATTCTAATGGTGACAATTATGGACAAATTGTCAAATGTTCTGATAGAGTAAAAAAGCCAACAACATTAGTAATTGATCAGGAGAATCGTAGTTGTAGTAGTAGAAGACATCAGCAAAATAAATGCCAGCATCGTCGGCATCAAAAGGACATTAATGAAGATTTCGCTATGGAAGATAGCAGCGATGAGGATGAAGACGATGAAATGGTAAATGAGGACGATGATGATGATGGGATAAGTGAGCAAAAGCAGGCCAATTACAATGAAAACATTATGGAAAATGGCAAAAAATTATCACAGGTAAGTCAAGTAGTTAACTTTTGATTATATGAACTCTTCACACGTAAATTTTCTATAAAAAGAAAATTTATTGTAAATTTTCTATAAAAAGAAAATTTATCGTAAATTTTCTATAAAATGGAAATTTATCGTAAATTTTCTATAAAATGGAAATTTATCGTAAATTTTCTATAAAATGGAAATTTATCGTAAATTTTCTATAAAAAGAAAATTTATCGTAAATTTTCTATAAAAAGAAAATTTATCGTAAATTTTCTATAAAAAGAAAATTTATCGTAAATTTTCTATAAAATGGAAATTTATCGTAAATTTTCTACAAAATGGAAATTTATCGTAAATTTTCTATAAAAAGCAAATTTATCGTAAATTTTCTATAAAAAGCAAATTTATCGTAAATTTTCTATAAAAAGCAAATTTATCGTAAATTTTCTATAAAAAGCAAATTTATCGTAAATTTTCTGTAAAAAGAAAATGTATCGTAAATTTTCTGTAAAAAGAAAATGTATCGTAAATTTTCTATAAAATGGAAATGTATCGTAAATTTTCTATAAAATGGAAATTTATCGTAAATTTTCTATAAAAAGAAAATTTATCGTAAATTTTCTATAAAAAGAAAATTTATCGTAAATTTTCTACAAAATGGAAATTTATCGTAAATTTTCTATAAAATGGATATTTATCGTAAATTTTCTATAAAATGGAAATTTATCGTAAATTTTCTATAAAATGGAAATTTATCGTAAATTTTCTATAAAATGGAAATTTATCGTAAATTTTCTATAAAATGGAAATTTATCGTAAATTTTCTATAAAATGGAAATTTATCGTAAATTTTCTATAAAATGGAAATTTATCGTAAATTTTCTATAAAATGGAAATTTATCGTAAATTTTCTATAAAATGGAAATTTATCGTAAATTTTCTATAAAATGGAAATTTATCGTAAATTTTCTATAAAAAGAAAATTTATCGTAAATTTTCTATAAAAAGAAAATTTATCGTAAATTTTCTATAAAAAGAAAATTTATCGTAAATTTTCTATAAAAAGAAAATTTATCGTAAATTTTCTATAAAAAGAAAATTTATCGTAAATTTTCTATAAAAAGAAAATTTATCGTAAATTTTCTATAAAAAGAACATTTATCGTAAATTTTCTATAAAAAGAAAATTTATCGTAAATTTTCTATAAAATTGAAATTTATCGTAAATTTTCTACAAAATGGAAATTTATCGTAAATTTTCTACAAAATGGAAATTTATCCTAAATTTTCTACAAAATGGAAATTTATCGTAAATTTTCTACAAAATGGAAATTTATCGTAAATTTTCTATAAAATGGAATTTTATCGTAAATTTTCTATAAAATGGAAATTTATCGTAAATTTTCTATAAAATGGAAATTTATCGTAAATTTTCAACAAAATGGAAATTTATCGTAAATTTTCAACAAAATGGAAATTTATCGTAAATTTTCTACAAAATGGAAATTTATCGTAAATTTTCTACAAAATGGAAATTTATCGTAAATTTTCTATAAAATGGAAATTTATCGTAAATTTTCTATAAAATGGAAATTTATAGTAAATTTTCTATAAAATGGAAATTTATCGTAAATTTTCTATATAATGGAAATTTATCGTAAATTTTCTATAAAATGGAAATTTATCGTAAATTTTCTATAAAAAGGAAATTTATCGTAAATTTTCTATAAAATGGAAATTTATCGTAAATTTTCTATAAAATTGAAATTTATCGTAAATTTTCTATAAAATGGAAATTTATCGTAAATTTTCTATAAAAAGAAAATTTATCGTGAATTTTCTATAAAAAGAAAATTTATCGTAAATTTTCTATAAAAAGAAAATTTATCGTAAATTTTCTATAAAAAGAAAATTTATCGTAAATTTTCTATAAAAAGAAAATTTATCGTAAATTTTCTATAAAAAGAAAATTTATCGTAAATTTTCTATAAAAAGAAAATTTATCGTAAATTTTCTATAAAAAGAAAATTTATCGTAAATTTTCTATCAAAATAAATTTTATCGTAAATTTTATTGTCTCCATCATTTAGAAGCATAAAATTCTCACAATTATCAAATTGTTATTTTCACTATTAAAAGTCAATTGGGTTGTGTTTCGATCTACTGTAATTTTTATGTAAATTACTTTTTCATAACCTTTGCCAAATTGTTGTTAAACTTTGTAAATGGTAATTGCATTCATTAATATTTCCTCTTAATTTTGCCAAAAAATTCTGACCTTAATTACATTCAAAGAGTTGAATATTAGGATGGTATCATTTTTAAGAGTTAAGAGTTATTTACAATTATGTGATTTACAGACGAGCTCATTATACCTATAGGAACTGTGACTAGTTATGGGCCGATTTAGAAAATTTGTCACAGAATGATTTATATAAAATAGTTATTCCAATATCATTATTGAATAGTTCGTGTAAGTATACAACATATTTGTTCCGATATAATGATTAGTTAATTAATCATGTTCGTTTAATTGATTTTCCAAAGTGGACCTTCTATGGGAATTATGGTCAATTATGGACCAATCCAGTTTATTAGAATTGCATACGATATTCTAGAGGGAGTTTTTGTATGCATTGTATGAAATGCTTTACAAGATCACCTGCCTTTTGGTATATTTTACGTTAGTACTTCTACAATTACAGGGTGAACTGTTAGACGACTCTCCGCCTTTGGTGTGCCTTGTTCCGCCGGTCCCTGTGCAAAAACATTGCTCAATTACTCGAGATATCTAAACTCTAATCATTGATGCCCCGTTGCTTAACTTCCGAGATGCAAAAACATAACTTCCGTTTATAACCTGGCAGAGGGGATGGTCTCTGTTGATTCGGCAACGGTGGAGCGTAATACGAATCCATCAAATAAGCCAAAAACAAGTTGTGGTAACACCTCTTTTCCACGGATATTAATCACACCAATGTAACATGATCCGGGCGGTATGGGGATTATATGAATTTTGCTTTTATCTCCGTTACTTTTGAATCGATTTTCTTGATATTGAATCGGAAACTTCTCGGAAGCATGTCTGACCGAATTATTGAATATTTGGATCCATACAGACAAACGACAGACAGGCCGAAAGAAGGACATTGTAAAAACGACTTCGCTATCTATTAGGATCCAGAATATATACATATATATACTTTATAGGATACATTTTCTCAAGAAAAGTTAAGGTTTAAACAGTATTAAACTATTTACCCAAATAGTTTTCAGATTTCATTCCCGTTTTTCCCTTTTTTCTTCCCCATTAAGGAAGAAAATTCACACACGATTATGAGTTTATTTTAACAAATCTTTATTTTACCTTTTCTCTAAATTATAATCTTTATCATCATTATTATTAAAACTATCCCACGTCTGACGTTCAGCTTTGGCGAGGACATTGAATACCGTTGCTCCCACGAAATATATAACAGTGGCCACTAAGAAAACATTACGCCAATTGGCAATTGTTGGTTCATTATGCACTAAGTGACCTGAAACAATCGGTGCAAACAGACCCACAAAATTTGCCGTACAATTTGTAACGGCCATTAAGAAACCTGCATAATGTGGACTTATATCCAAATGATTAATTTTAAAACCTGAATAAATGGCGCCATTAAGTCCTACACCCAGGCTCAATATAAACAAAGTTAAGACACGATTGCAGCCAGTAAAGGAGGCAACAGCCAAAGCTATACCGGGACCATATTGTCCTATGGAATTCATAATTTTTCTAGTAGTTGAAATGCTAAAACGTTGGGAGCTAATCATCCAATCGGCCACAACAGCAATGGCAAGGGAAAATAGCCACATACACAAATAGGGTAGGGAAGAATAGAAACCATTGGATTTTAAAGAAAATCTCAATACTTGTTTCATATAGGTGGGCAATTCGGTGAGCAAAGTTTCGTAGCCATAATTCTGGCCCATATGAGCAAATAGAATACCATAAAAGGGTAAAGATTTCATAATGGCTTTTAAAGGCAATTTTAGCGTTTCCTGAGGCTCAGAACCCCATATAGAATTATTAATATATTCCTTTTCATTAGCTTTTATAGAAGGATGTGTATTAGGCTCCTCATAAACCCACAGCAAAAATGCCAAACACCATATAGTGGCCACCAAACCAAAGACATAAAATATCAAAGCCCAACCACCATGTTCAGCTAATATTCCCGAGATGGGCATAGAAATAATTGTACCAAATTGTGCTCCTGAGTAAACTGCAGCACCCATGCGTGATCTTTCATTGGGTGGTATCCATTTGGCTAGTAAAGCATGTGTACAGGGCACAATAGGTCCTTCTCCCAGACCCTGTATAAAACGGGCTGCACACAAACCCCATACACCATGTAAACGTGTAGCTACTGGTACTAAAAAAGCCACCAGAGAATTCAATAACATTCCATAGCCCAAAAAGTTAAGAGCTCCATAACGTTTAGCCAATACACCAAAGGGAACTTGCGTCATCACATAACCATAGAAAAAAGAAGCCAATATATAGCCCTGTAGTTGAGAACTCCACACATAAGGTCCATCTTGTGTTATAGTTATTGCCGTCAGATTAACATCCGGACACTCGGATTCTAATTGTTCCATTGGGGTCTCTGTAATGGCTGTGTTATTAACCATGGCTACAATGGCCACCGACATATTTGTGCGCATTACATAGGCATTGGCCATGCCCAAAAATAGCATAAATGTTACAAAATATCGTGTTTGATAGAGTTCTTGAGGTTTGTTTAAAGTGTGCTGCATTTCCAATGGATCTTTTGATTGAATTATTTAGGTTTGAATTACTTGAACGAAATTTTTTAAAATTTCGTTGATGTTACTTTTAAATATAAAAAATATTGGGAATGATTTGGCTTAACAGGGTGTATATTTAAATTTTGATTTTTATATTGGTTCAGAAAATTGTAATTGGTTCTATGTAGGCCTTGGTACGTTAATAGCTTTTTCGTGTGACTGAACCCTTAACAGGGTGTATATTTAAATTTTGATTTTTATATTGGTTCAGAAAATTGTAATTGGTTCTATGTAGGCCTTGGTACGTTAATAGCTTTTTCATGTGACTGAACCCTTTACCTTCGTGAGATTGGTAACTAACTAACTAACTAGCTAACTAACTACTACTACTAACTACTACTAACTAACTAACTACTAACTAACTAACTAACTAACTAACTAACTAACTAACTAACTAACTAACTAACTAACTAACTAACTAACTAACTAACTAACTAACTAACTAACTAACTAACTAACTAACTAACTAACTAACTAACTAACTAACTAACTACTAACTAACTAACTAACTAACTAACTAACTAACTAACTAACTAACTAACTAACTACTAACTAACTAACTAACTAACTAACTAACTAACTAACTAACTAACTAACTAACTAACTAACTAACTAACTAACTAACTAACTAACTAACTAACTAACTAACTAACTACTAACTAACTAACTAACTAACTAACTAACTAACTAACTAACTAACTAACTAACTAACTAACTACTAACTAACTAACTAACTAACTAACTAACTAACTAACTAACTAACTAACTAACTAACTAACTAACTAACTAACTAACTAACTAACTAACTAACTAACTAACTAACTAACTACTAACTAACTAACTACTAACTAACTAACTAACTAACTAACTAACTAACTAACTAACTAACTAACTAACTAACTAACTAACTAACTAACTAACTAACTAACTAACTAACTAACTAACTAACTAACTAACTAACTACTAACTAACTAACTAACTAACTAACTAACTAACTACTAACTAACTAACTAACTAACTAACTAACTAACTAACTAACTAACTAACTAACTAACTAACTAACTAACTAACTACTAACTAACTAACTAACTAACTAACTAACTAACTAACTAACTAACTAACTAACTAACTAACTAACTAACTAACTAACTAACTAACTACTAACTAACTAACTAACTAACTAACTAACTAACTAACTAACTAACTAACTAACTAACTAACTAACTAACTACTAACTAACTAACTAACTAACTAACTACTAACTAACTAACTAACTAACTAACTAACTAACTAACTAACTAACTAACTAACTAACTAACTAACTAACTAACTAACTAACTAACTAACTAACTAACTAACTAACTAACTAACTAACTAACTAACTAACTAACTAACTACTAACTAACTAACTAACTAACTAACTAACTAACTAACTACTAACTAACTAACTAACTAACTAACTACTAACTAACTAACTAACTAACTAACTAACTAACTAACTAACTAACTAACTAACTAACTAACTAACTAACTAACTAACTAACTACTAACTAACTAACTAACTAACTAACTACTAACTAACTAACTAACGAACTAACTAACTAACTAACTACTAACTAACTAACTAACTAACTAACTAACTAACTAACTAACTAACTAACTAACTAACTAACTAACTAACTAACTAACTACTAACTAACTAACTAACTAACTAACTAACTAACTAACTAACTAACTAACTAACTAACTAACTAACTAACTAACTAACTAACTAACTAACTAACTAACTAACTAACTAACTAACTAACTAACTAACTAACTAACTAACTAACTAACTAACTAACTAACTAACTAACTACTAACTAACTAACTAACTAACTAACTAACTAACTAACTAACTAACTAACTAACTACTAACTAACTAACTAACTAACTAACTACTAACTAACTAACTAACTAACTAACTACTAACTAACTAACTAACTAACTAACTAACTAACTAACTAACTAACTAACTAACTAACTAACTAACTAACTAACTAACTAACTACTAACTAACTAACTAACTAACTAACTAACTAACTAACTAACTAACTAACTAACTAACTAACTAACTAACTAACTAACTAACTAACTAACTACTAACTAACTAACTAACTAACTAACTAACTAACTAACTAACTAACTAACTAACTAACTAACTAACTAACTAACTAACTAACTAACTAACTAACTAACTAACTAACTAACTAACTAACTAACTAACTAACTAACTAACTAACTAACTAACTAACTAACTAACTAACTAACTAACTAACTAACTAACTAACTAACTACTAACTAACTAACTAACTAACTAACTAACTAACTAACTAACTAACTAACTAACTAACTAACTAACTAACTAACTAACTAACTAACTAACTAACTAACTAACTAACTAACTAACTAACTAACTAACTACTAACTAACTAACTAACTAACTAACTAACTACTAACTAACTAACTAACTAACTAACTACTAACTAACTAACTAACTAACTAACTAACTAACTACTAACTAACTAACTAACTAACTAACTAACTAACTACTAACTAACTAACTAACTAACTAACTAAACTAACTAACTACTAACTAACTAACTAACTAACTAACTAACTAACTAAACTAACTAACTAACTAACTAACTAACTAACTAACTAACTAACTAACTAACTAACTAACTAACTAACTAACTAACTAACTAACTAACTAACTAACTAACTAACTAACTAACTAACTAACTAACTAACTAACTAACTAACTAACTAACTAAACTAACTAACTACTACTAACTAACTAACTAACTAACTAACTAACTAAACTAACTAACTAACTACTAACTAACTAACTAACTAACTAACTAACTAACTAACTAACTAACTAACTAAACTAACTAACTAACTAACTAACTAACTAACTAACTACTAACTAACTAACTAACTAACAACTAACTAACTAACTAACTAACTAACTAACTAACTAACTAACAACTAACTAACTAACTAACTAACAACTAACTAACTAACTAACGAACTAACTAACTAACTAACTAAACTAACTACTAACTAACTAACTAACTAACTAACTAACTACTAACTAACTAACTAACTAACTACTAACTAACTAACTAACTAAATAACTAACTAACTACTAACGACTAAGTAACTAACTAACTAACTAACTAACTACTACTAACTAACTACTACTAACTAACTAACTAACTAACTAGCTAACTAACTAACTAACTAACTAACTAACTAACTAACTAACTAGCTAACTAACTAACTAGCTAACTAACTAACTAACTAATTGGGGTCTTCAGAAAATTGATTTCAACAGACAGACAGATGTCTTAACCGATTATCTATAGGGATCCAGAATAAATGTATGAATATATCCTCGGCTTTTCCTTGCAATAATTTGACATCTGATCGAACTACAGGACAAGATTATCTGGTACTACTGGTGGCCGGTGCCTTCGGATCTACGTAGTGGCTGTGGTTTAAACCCAAATTTCGCGAGAAGTCTGGCTAATTTAATATAGATCGGTGTTATCGAGCCACCAATTACGTCCCTAGATGCTGTTGCCAAAACAACAGTCCCATCCCACTGGTGTGGTTGGGCGACTTTAAGAGTTCCTGAAATGAACTGGAGAGAGTCTTTAGATGATGAGAATGTTTATAGGGACATGGCATTTCTCGTAGTATCAATAGGGTGTTTTCACCTGATGTTATGTCCGCCCCTTCTATCTGTTCTAAACAGTGACTGCCTTTTTCTTTGTAGTGGTTAGATTGAGCTTAACTCTTTACGCTTGCCATTCCCCAACGGGACTATTATGAAGTGATTGGATAGCTCGAGAACCATGTACAGGGAGCGGTGGTGAATCGGTAAATATGCTCACCCAGTGGTTGAAAAAGACCACCGTGAAATAAGGCCAATAGATTTAAAAATGAAAATAAATAATATAAAAATTAAATTAAATATTAAATTAATATTTTTTAAACAAACTATGTTGAAGTGTATATAAGATTCGTTAAAGCCAATATTAATAAATATAAAAAGAACGATTTGATCACTTCAAATTTTACTTTCCAATTAATTTTCGATTTATAGTTTCCAACAGCTTAAGTAAAAAGTCAAATATTCTCACTAACTTTAAAGTATTTAACAAGTTGTGTGTTCAATGTTAAATTTATTTATTTGATTATAACAATAACTTAACTTTTGCAACAAAACCTTTTTCAGTAAAAAGATTCCAGTAGTCAAGCAGCAGTTCAAAGTTCTATAAACTTATAAAAAAAAGTTACAGTAACAATAACAAGAATAAGTTTATTAAAGAAAGTTTTGTTTACATTTATTTAAGTAAAGACAAACACTGTAAATTCTTTTAAGAGTTAAAGAGATGAAAAATGTTTTAATAATTTAAAACAAAAATTCAAACAGTATTAAACAAACTATAGGGATATTAGTTAAATATTGGCAAAAAGTTGTTAAAAAAGAAATATTATACGATTTTGAGGCGTATGAGCTATATAACATTTTTATAATAAATATTTATCACTCATACGCATGTCATTCCTGAAGTCTTTTTAAAAGGCTAAACATTTGGATTATAAATAACTTTTTCGAAATTTTGCCAAAAATTATTCGAATAAACCTACTGCACAACATTCGAATAAAAGTAAAAAACTCAACCTAACATCGCTACATTTTGGAGGCGTATGAACTATACAACATTTTTATTAAAAATAACACTCATACGCATGTTGTTCTTGAAGGCCTTTTCACAAAATATTGTTAAAAATAAACATCAATGTTATAAACCTTTTACAAATCACCAAGCTGCCTTTAATAATATTTTATCAAATAAATTCAGTTGTTTTCGAACGTTTTGTTTAATGGAAAACGAAAATTTATGGGAATTTTATGGATTTTTTGTTTCTCCTTATTTTCTAATAAAATAAAATACATACACAAATTTGT